GAGTGACGGGGGTGAGCCAGTCCAAAATGGCAGCCACCTTTTGGGGGATCCATGGCAATGCCCGTGGTTGATATGATGAGACCCAGGAATTGGACAGAGTCCTTTTCAAATTCGCACTTCTCGGCTTTCACGTATAATTGGTGTTTTCGGAGTCTCCGTAACACCTCCAGAAAATGCGTCCGATGTAGGTCAAGGGAGGATGAAAAAATCAAAATGTCGTCCAGATAGACCACCATAAATAGATCCAAAAAATCTCTGAAAATGTCATTGACTAGGTGTTGGAAGGTGGCTGGGGCATTACAGAGCCCGAAGGGCATAACTAAATACTCAAAATGTCCAAATCGAGTTCGGAAAGCCGTCTTCCATTCGTCACCTTCCCTGATTCTCACCAAATTGTAGGCACCCCGGAGATCCAGTTTGGTAAAGACTCGTGCAGACCTGAATTGTTGGAATAACTCGGGGACTAGGGGCAAGGGATAACGGTTCTTGATCGTAATTTTGTTTAATTCTCGGTAGTCAATGCAAGGACGAAGGGAATGGTCCTTCTTTTCGACAAAATACCCGCTCCCGCTGGAGATGTCGAAGGTCTGATGAATCCCTTTTCCAGGCTCTCGTTCACATACAGCCGTAAGGTCTCCAACTCAGGTTCCGACAGGGGATAAATCCTGCCAAAAGGAATCTCGGCTCCAGGCAACAGCTCAACCGGACAATCATATGGCCTATGAGGTGGCAATGTGTCGGCTCCCTTCTTGTCAAACACATCCAGATATTCATGATACTCTATCGGAACGCCTTCAGGCACCGAGGATGCAGGTTGTAAGCCTAACAGGGCTCTGGGAGATAGGCAATGTTGGGTGCAGTATGGAGAGGAGAACACAAGGGATCCGTTTGACCAATCAATGGAAGGATTGTGCATTTGCAGCCATGGGATGCCCAAGATCATGGGAAATAGAGGTGAGGAGATGATGTCAAAACGCATGATTTCCTGATGGTTAATCATGCTGGTAAACAGCGGACAAGTTTCCAAAGTGGTTGGGCCTGAGGTAGGGCTGGATCCATCGGCCAATTGGATAATCAAAGGTTGAGTTTTAACCAGCAAAGGAAATTGGTGTTGTAAAGCAAAGTCTTTATCCATAAAGCAGCTGCATGCTCCAGAATCAATAATTTCTGGTGCTTGGATACTTCTTTCCAGAACCTGTAGAGAGAGAAGGAGAGTGATTTGGAGCGAATCCGTTCTTGTACAAGCTGTCAGGCACACGGACAGATGGGGTGCACTTACTAGGACGGACTGGGCATGAGCGCAAGAAATGTCCGGCCTCCCCACAATAGAGGCAGAGATGGTTCTGTCTGCGTCGTTGTCGTTCCTCGGGAGATGAGGAAGATCGGACCAACCCGAGCTGCATGGGTTCCGGATCTGGCATGGAGTTACCAGCAGAGAATTCCTGAGCAGGAGCTGAAGGAGCAAATGATGCATGAGGAAGTGCCCAAGGGACCCGGGTGACTCTGGATCTTTCAAGACGTCTCTCCCGAATCCTGCGGTCTAACTGAATGGCCAGACAAATAAGTCCTTCGACTGTATCAGGGACCCCCACACGAGCGATCTCATCCTTGAGAACCTCGGACAAACCTAGGCGGAACTGGTGTCGGAGAGCTGCGTCATTCCACTGCGTATCTGCACCCCATTTGCGGAATTCCACAACGTAGTCCTCCACAGGACGTCGACCTTGCTGCAGAGAAATGAGGACTGTCTCGGCGGTAGTGGATCTCTGGGCATCATCGTACATCTGGGCCATAGCCGCAAAGAAGGTAGGTAGTGAGTTTAGAATGGTGCTCTCTTGCTCCAGCAGATGGTGTGCCCATGACTGGGGTTCTCCAGACAGCAGAGATATCACAAATCCAACTTTGGTGAGATCAGATGTGAAGGTGCGAGGTTGAAGATTGAAATATAATTGGCATGCATTCTTGAACACACGGAACTTCTGTCTTTCTCCGGAAAAACATTCAGGTGCTGGTACCCGAGGTTCTGGTGTAGCTGGAGTAGCTGCGGTTGCAGGGGGAGCGGCCTCTGGTTCTGCAGGAGCAGCAGCACTTGGTGGTGGTCTGGCTGTGACCGAAGAGACTAGTGCCCCCACCTGTCCCTCCAATTGGAAGTAACCATCCTGAAGACCTTGAACCGTCTGATTTGAGAGTAGACAGTTGCTGGAACAGGGCCTCCATGGAGAACGCACCCCCCTCAGTCTCAGACATTCTTTTGGCTGATGGTACTATCACGTACCTGAGGCTGAGACTGGAATATGGGGAGGCGTCCCTTGCGATTCGTGTCCTGCGACCCCTGGAGTTGGGAACAGAAGGGTGCAGGGCAACGAGGAGCACGAGTGCCGTAGGCTGGAAACACCCACTGCGTGGAGACAACAGTGAAGAGAAGTCAGGAAGCCAAGGTCAAATCCGGTCGGGCAGGCGAGGTACAAAATCGTAAGGCAAACTCAATATCCAGGAAACAAGCCGAGGTCAGAGGCTGGCAGCAAGCAGAGAATAGTCCAGAGCAATCCGAGTCGAGTCAAGGCAGGCTAAAGAGACAGATACAGAACACAGGCACAACACTAAGCTGACAAGACCATCAGCAATGCCAGAGAGGCTGACTCCTCCTTTTATAGTCCCAAGGTTCACAGACAGCTACCTCACTTCCTGTGCGTTTTACCGCGCACCTTGCCGAGATTCTCGTGGTTTGCAATCGTGCCTTTACAGAGGGGCTGCTATCATCAACCCTGTGTAGGCTTTGACGCCATCCAATACAGAGCCTACACAATTTTTTTAGGCTAGGATGGAGGGGGGAACGCTGCGAGGGAGAGTATAAATTGGTAGAAGGGGTGGGCTAGCATAAGAGTCCATTACTTTCCCCTGTTTTTTTTAAATGTATGTTGAAAAAATAAAGCAAAATCATATTAAATACATCTCTGCAGTTTCCCATGTTTTGTCTCTTTAATGTGAAACTGAACTCAAAAAGTGAATGCTGTGTTATAGGGAAAAATCTAGAAATGGTAATAGTACCTAAGCAGTATTTTTTTTTCTTTTGGCTCTAATGTACACTTTAAGCCAAAGTAGAGTAGTGATTGCTGAGTATTTTTTTTTTTTTTTATGATCACAATGCAGGGTCCTCCATAAAGACAAATAATCAATGAAGCCCATGATTGCCAGTGAGCTGGTCATATTTGCATTACCGCCCAATCCGCAGCTAACTATATGAGTAACATGATGCCCTAGTGCCTTATGGTGGTACATGCTGTCCAGTTGTCCGAACACACTGGCAGGGTGGCACAAGCTGTCCAGTTGTCTCAGTTCACTGAAAGGGTTTTCAAGTCTCTAGGACAAACAAGTTGAAATCACTCTTTCACTCAAGTCTGTTTTTACATTGTTGGGTTTAAAAGCCTTCCTGGTTTTGTCTTGCTTCAAGAACCTCAGAGAATGGTGGCTGGTACCTGTTGCTATATCCGCAAGCGCCAAGTACTACCAACACCTTACTTGCAGTTCATCAAGATTTTGATAGCTTGAACTTTCCTTATCTTTGCAATAATTTGTTCTTCCCCATCTCGCTTTCATTCCCTCTTTACGTGTGATTCATATTTTCTTTAGATTCTCTTATCAAGCATGCAGCGGTGAGTGAATCAGGAATGCTGTGATTGTGTGTATTTTATAAAACCTGACGTTGCACAGATGTCTTACCTTATCAGGGGCAGCCAGGACACGCTGGTTTATTTTCCAAACCTGGAATTCTTTGCTGTTTCTGTATGTACTGTTTTGTATAGAATGCTGTTATATTACAGTATATTATAGTATGTTGCTAGAATAACAAATATTTATATGCAATTTTTCTTATTTAATATATTTTTTAAAACTTTTATTTTTAAACCATTATATATTAATAAACATCTATACAAAACCATTATATATTCCCTTAAAAATTAAATCTGTAGACATGCGTTTTAAATTCCACACACCTACCCACTTATACTTTGCTGCACTCCCCTCATTGCTTCCTTCATTGCAGCCTCCGCAATATATCCTCTCTCTGTCAAATGGCTTTGGAACTTACGTAGGGTTGTTAATGGCACTCTTCCATCATGTGACAGTGTTAGAGTCTGGTGATAGGCTGCTCAGGCCTGAACACTTCATCATAGTAGGAGGTTGCATGTACTCCCATACCAGAAAGCACCGGGTATTCTGTGGCAGCTTCAACACAGAAAGGAGTGGCAAAGGATCGCTGCAAAGATGAGTACAAATGTGTCAAGGTGGGCTAAAAAGAAGCACTGGCACTTTGTCCTGAATAAGCAGAATTATTTAATTCAAAGAAGTCATTCAGAGAATCCCTATTTTCATTGATCTACTGGGCCACCTGTCCAAATGAGTTCTATAGCAGTTGCATTGTACTTTTCATCTTCATTGTTCCTCTCTTGTCTGGCAAGCAATCCAGTTCCATCTTATGACATTACCTGAGGATAATGAGCTGCATGTTTTTCTTCTCGACTCTCTACAATAGTAGTATCTGTGCTAGCAGTAGTTAATATCATACATAGTTACATAGTCAGGTTGAAAAAAGACACATGTCCATCGAGTTCAACCTATAGAGATATGAAGAAAAAAAAAAGGAAGAAAAGCCTAAACAGAACGCTATGACCACAATTACCCCCTGTTGATCCAGAGGAAGGCAAAAAAAACCCCCTATAAAGCAAGGTTCAATTTGCTCCAACAGGGGGAAAAAATTCCTTCCAGATCCCATAAGGCAATCGCATATTCCCTGGACCAACAATCTCTGATGCTTAATATACTTATAACAACTGAATATCCAGTAATATTCTGTGCATTTAGGAATATCTCAAGAATAAGGTTTGCATGTCTACCAGTGTGTAAAGAACTTGCATTTTTTTTAAACCTGCTTTATAACTTCGTTTGGTATGTTTGTTCAGGTTTGTGTAACTGGACATTCCTATGTACTTTTCTTCCAGGTTAAAGAGATGGGGGAATATTTCAAGCACCACTTGCTGCAGTCCAGACACAGAGGGGCTTTTGAGCTGGCATACGTTGGGTTTGTGAAGCTCACAGACATGCTGATTGGGTAAGGAGCAGTACTTTTATTACAGGAAGGTAAAATGTGTTAACTCCTCATAAATAATAATCGGCAATTAATGTTGTTTTTAATCAAATCATAGTCAAACATGCCTTTGTGGACATTTTTCCTGTCCTGAGCAGCCAACATAGATGAGAAATTATCAGGGAATCCCCTTGAAAAAGTTAACATATTACTTATTTGAAAGAGTGTATTATAGGTAGCATGGAGGCTGACCGTGACACTGATGAAAGAGAGTATTCAGTGTCCATTATAAAGCTGAGCTATCAAGACCTTCTCGGCATAATGATGTAGTGACAGATTAAGCACACACGTCTATCAGTTTACAGACCCCTAATCACTTATAATAAAGGCTATGGAGACACGCTGTCCGTGCCTCATGCTCAGCCTCTGAAAGAGTTTTTGAAGTGTATACACTGCATAAGTAAACATAGGAAAAACAAGGGGACTCCCATTACTGGCCTTATTTAGACATTGCTAGTTGACCGACTGTTATGCTGAGCCACTGGCTTCAATACTTTTGAAGTCCCTGAACCAGAACATCTGTGCGAATCAAAAATTCTGTCTTTGCATGTACTCTAATGGCTGCATGTTGTTTTGGTAGTGAACCAGAGACAACCAAGCAACTTGTATTCAGAGAATGCTCAGCAGAAGGCTCAAAGTTGATATATATTTCTATCAGCACAGATTTCCTTAAAGTTAACCAAGAGTTAAACCAAGCGAGCATTTTGGCTTGGTTCACACTTGGGCGTTTTACAGCGCGTTCCTACGCTCTGTAAAACGCTCAACATGTGAAAACCAATGATTGCCTATGGGCATGGTTCCCACCTGGGCGTTTTACAGAGCGTAGGAACGCGCTGCAAAACGCTCTACGCCCAAAGAAGTACAGGAGCTTCTTTGGGGCGTATTTGCCGCGTGTATACATTGGGATACAGCCAGGTAGCCCTCGGAAACGCGCGTTTGTCAAACAGGCATATGCGATACGCCTAGGTGTGAACCCAGCCTAAGTGGTGGCTACTTTACAACATACACAGGGACCATGGGGGAACAAAAGTAGCCACCCTCCAGAACGAAGGACAGTGTCAGCACCAATTCAGAGAAGATTTGAGGATCTACAGCTGAATGATATGCAAATAAGATACATTTTTGCTAATACTTAAGGTACTTGAATGCATTTTCAGGATTTAACGCCTGAGTGTATTATCACTTTAACTTTAAAAGCAGGTCTCCAGCCCTGCCAGACAGGGCTGTGCTTTGTGGCAGAGTTGTGTAAATCTCAGACTTGGATTTACAAAAATACAAATCCTTTTGGCAACTAATACAGCTCCCATTTACTTAATCTGTGTATTTAGTCGTTTGGCTGTCATTAACGCAATGCAACAACCCAAAGAAATCAGATTTCTCCTCTTACAAGTTTTAAACAATGCAAGTTTTACTATATTTGCTATAAGTTAAAATGCTGTGCATATGGTTCTTTGTTTTACCAAATAAAGGTCTGATTGTGTTCTGCTGCATCTGGATAGTAAGGCTGTGAAAAGAGCACTCTATTTTTACTACTGGCCTGCTTGAACTAGAATAGTCCCCGGAGCTTCATCAATCAGTTGTACAATTCTAGGAAATCACATGTTTGAATTTTCCTTCTTTTCTCCCTGTAGTCACTGAAAAACAGTGAAAAACAAGCCTGTTTCAGGCTAACGTTTGACTTGTCCTTAAAGTCGTATAAATCTGCACGTATGTCTGAAGAAGGGGCACTTGAGTAGAGAGGGAAGGAAATCGCCTTCTGCTTCTCAGGTGTGTTGCACAATGCAGGAAAATATTTCTTGATTTGTTGTCTTGCAGGATTCCAATGTGCAATCCATTAGACGTGCACCCAGGCTGCTATACATTTTCTTAAAAAATGGCTGTGTGGACCTGTGATGTAGGCCTCAGGCTGCCCCAGATCATTTTTAGATTGTTTACGTTGATTCACAGTTTCAAGTTGTTCACTTACTTATCTTTGGCATTAAAGTTTTATGGGTAGCATGGTACAAGCTTCCACTAATGGCCTTGACCTTTGATCTCACCGGAACATATTGGGCCCACAAATGACCAAACTGATTTTGAGTGGTCTTGTGAATTTTGCTATATTTACCTTTAAAATATGTGTAGCATCCAAACATCTTTTAGTTTAGTTATATAATTAATTTTTATACAGGATTTTTATAGCGCCAACAGTTTGCGCAGCGCTTCACAATATAAGGAAGACATTACAATCACAATTCAAGACAAGATGGTAAGGAGGGCCCAGCCCGTGAGGGCTTACAATCTAAAAGGGAGGGGGCAAGTGATACATGAGGAGGTAGCTGTGTGGGGATGAATTCTTTAAGAAATTGATATTTTTGAGGGGTTAGGTTGCGGTGGGATAGACTTCCCTGAAGAGATGAGTCTTAAGGGATAGCCTAAAGGCAGTCAGTTATATAAGTTATACAGTTTTAGTTATACAAGGGTTAAAATAACACTTGATTTTCTCTTTAATGTTTATTCTGCCTCAAGTAATTTAAAGCAGATCTGGATGTTAGAACTGGAGGACATTTATTTTGCTAAAGGCATTGCGTACCATAAACACTTGCCAAATATTTTTCTTTTTTAGAAAATAACTATTTTCAACTCTTTTCAGCTTTTTTCATTCTTTGTTGCATCTTGCAACATACCAGTGTAATATTTGTAGTTTTACTTACCTGTTTCTATTTGAGTGATATTCCCATACACACTCACTGCTGCCTTCTTGCTGTATCAGTGTATCGTAGTGTCAGTGCTGAATAAGTAAGGTTCATAACATCCACCAATCAGAT